GTAAACTGCCATTCACAATTGTTACAAAGAGAATAAAATACATAGGAATAGAGCTAACAAAGGAGGTAAAGGAACTCTTCAAGGAAAACTACAAATCACTGCTCACGGAAATAAAAGAGGACACAAACAGATGGGGAAACATTCCATGCTCATGGTTAGGAAGAATCAACATTGTGAAAATGGCCATACTGCCCAAAGTAATTTACACATTCAATGCTATCCCATCAAGCTACCTAAGACCCTCTTCACAGAACCGGAAAAAACCACCTTAAACTTCATATGGAACCAAAAGAGCCCGCATAGCCAAGTCAATTCTAAGCAAAAAGAACAAAGTGGGAGGCATCAGACTACCGGACTTCAAACTATACTACAAGGCTACAGTAATGAAAACAGCATGGTACTGGCACCAAAACAGAGATACAGACCAATGGAAAAGAACAGAGGCGTTGGAGGCAATACCACATGTCTACAATCATCTGATCTTTGACAAAACTGACAAAAACAAGAAATGGGGAAATGTTCCCTGTTTAATAAATGGTGTTGGGAAAACTGGCTTGCAATGTTCAGAAAGCAGAAATGGGACCTCTTCCTGACACCTTACACTAAAACTAACTCCAGATGGATTAAAGACTTAAACATAATAACTAACACCATAAAAACCCTAGAAGAAAACCTAGGCAAAACCATTCAGGACATAGGTACACACAAAGACTTCATGACTAAAACACCAAATGCATTGGTAACAAAAGCCAAAATAGACAAATGGGATCTAGTTAAACTCCAGAGTTTCTGCACAGCAAAAGAAACAATCATTAGAGTGAACTGGCAACCAACAGAATGGGAAAAAATTTTTGCAATCTACCCATCTGACAAAAGGCTAGTATCCAGAATCTACAAATAACTGAAACAGATTTACAAGAAAACAAACAAATAAACAAACCCATTCAAAAGTGGGCAAAGGATGTGAAGAGACACTTTTCAAAAGAAGACATCTATGCATCCAACAAACATATGAAAAAATGCTCATCATCACTGGTCATTAGAAAAATGCAAATCAAAACCACATTGGGATACCATCTCCCGCCAGTTAGAATGTCGGTCATTAAAAATCTGGAGACAACAGATGCTGGAGAGGATGTGGAGAAATAGGAACACTTTTACATGGTGGGTGGGAGTGTAAATTAGTTCAATCATTGTGGAAGACAGTGTGGCGATTCCTCAAGGACCTAGAAATAGAAATTCCATTAGACCCAGCAATGCCATTATTGGGTATATATCCAAATGATTATAAATCATTCTATTATAAAGACAAATGCACACGTATGTTCATTGCAGCAATGTTTGTGATAGAAAAGACTTGGAACCAACCCAAATGCCCATTGATGATAGACTGGACATGGACAATGTGGCACAAATACGCCATGGAATACTATGCAGCCATAAAAATGATGAGCTCATGTCCTTTGTAGGGACATGGATGAATCTGGGAACCATCATTCTCAGCAAACTGACACAAGAACAGAAAATCAAACACTGCATGTTCTCACTCATAGGTGGGTTTTGAACGAGAACACATGGACACAGGCAGGGGAGCATCACACAGTGGGGTCTGTTGAGGGGGACTAGGGGAGGGAAAATGGTGGTTAGGGAGCTGGGGAGGGATAACATAGGGAGAAATGCCAGATACAGGTGATGGGGATTGAGGAAGTAAACTACATTGCTATGCATAGGCCTATGCAAGAATCCTGCATGTTTTGCACATGTACCCCAGAACCTAAAGTGCAATAAAATATTTTTAAAAAATTTAGACATTATTAATTCACTTCTGTGTCATATAGTAACTCAACAGCTACACAATTCATTTTTGGGATACAGCTATTCAAAAATAGTTTACAAAATAGGAAGCCAAGGTCTCCAGAAGATCACAATGGTCAATAAAATTTAATATATCATGGAAAAAAGGCAATCCGAACATTGATTTTAGTCAAAAGCACTCACAAGTCTAAAATTTGTGGGTTCATTGTTATGTTTTATTAAGATTGGGCTTCAGTGAAAATAACTGGAAACATGCTGAGATGAAGCCATGCCAATTAGGGAATGGAATTAAGTGATACTATTAATATATACCATTACAAGTGATTACTATTTCCATACTTCTTATATAACATTCCATCCAACATAACTGATTCTTTGGTTTTTTAGTATGCTTGTATTTTATTCCAGTCACTTTTCTGCACAATTTCAACTAAATTCATTAGTTCTGAGGATGTTTAATTGCATAGCAATAGGGCTTTTAAGCACAAATTGCCAAATTTGTTGTTTGTGAAGACTATTGAACATTTTATTTTATACCCCACATAGCACTTTCTACAGATAACTCTCTAACTCTCTAAGTTATCTGCATATTTAAAAGACCTTTAAAAACACTTTGTCCCTTAATGACCTAGTAGAACAGATACCTGTAGGTTCCCATGATGCATCAGCCAGTATTATAGTAATATTAACACGTATCAAAATGGAGGCATGCATTTTATTCAATACATTAAAGCACTGAAGAAAGAAACAAAGAAATGCAAGAGTAAAGAAAATTTTGCAGCACAGCATTTGAATAGCATCCTATTTATGTTTGAGATAAACATTTTTTTGTTGTTTAATGAAGTATTATGTGTAATATATATACATAAATGGGTGCATATTGTATTTTCACATTATGTTATTGATTTTTTGCTTCCCCAAATCACAAACTATGGCAGTCCAACACTATTAGAGCATTTCTCTCAGTGACCTAATTTATCCATCCAAGTGCATACACATACATGTGTTTACTCACACAACATATACGAACATTCACACTGAGACACATGAACACACAAAATTGATGTTTGTTAACCAAATGTATACATAAAAAGTGTAAAAGATTTTTTTTTAATTTTTATCCAGGATGTTTATAACATGGCAATATTCTATTAGGTAACTGTAACATTATTTATAAATAAATGTCTGGCTTTGTATGGCATCGTTAATGGATGAATGTCATGTTTCTGTGCATGTGTCTTTATGCATTCATGCCTATGTGACACGTGCATGCATGTGTGTTTGTACAATCCTAAACAAGGCAGTTGAAACAGTTTGTATTCCTGTTTCTTTCCTCTAGAGATATGTGATTTTAAAGTGACAATTACACTTATTTTATATTTGAAGCAAAAATTGTTATTGGGAAAATAGAACAAAATGTGAAATATCACCATCAAATACTAACAAGCTTTTCAACTAATTCTAAGCTCTTCTAAAGGAATAATAATGTGTAATCATAAATATGTACATTTTTCTGCCACCACTTAGATTACTAGATTAATAAGCATGTTTTCCTAAATATTAAGTGATAGCTTGGAACTAGCAGAACCTGCAGATCTGATACTCATTTTAAGTTATATAAATTTGTATATATTTAATTATATCCCAATTTCTATTTTTCACTTTAACTACATATTAGAATCTATTCTATAATTATAATGCATATAAGGATATATACACATATTTAATCATGTATATATTCTTCATGTCTCCCTCTCTATATATGTTCTACATTGTTTTATTTTTAAGGTGTAACAAAGAAAGAAAGAGTTAAGCAAGCATGTCTGAGATCCATTCATGCCAACGTATTTCCATGTTGGAGCACTCCAGGAAAAGAAAGAAGGCAAGTGACCCAATCAAAGCCTCTAGTAAACATGATAATATCAAAACTCTTGGTAAACAATCTAGTGGTATTAGAGAGAAAGTGCTTATCTATAACATCTTTTTAGTTGAATGTGCCTCACATAACACATTGGTAAACAAATCTATGATCTGTAGACTTATTGAACAAGGTTCTCTGAAAAAATGGGTTATATGTTATATAATTATAGAAGTATAGAGAGATATTTACAATAAAAATGGCTCCCTTCCGCATTAGTTATGCGGCTGTGTGACCATTGACTTACAGAGGCCACATGTTGATCTGATTCAGAGTGCATTTCATACTTAGAAAGGACACAGGACGCTGCTGGAACATCCTGGATCTCTCTCTGCTTTGCTTCATAAATATGTACGTCCTTAAAATTTAAAAGAAACTTGAGATTTGTTTGTTACTGAACAATTGTCTAAACTAAAAATGGGTTTTACTTAACCAAATTTTTAGCAACAAATTGATTTCCAATGGGGACATGTGCCTTTTATGGTTTTTGGATTACGCTGCTGTAGCAAATCCTGTAATACATTATTAAGCAGCCTTCATTACCATTTTAGCCTAATATGACATGATATAATTGATGTGATATAACATCATGCGATATGATTGATATAATATGATTGTTTGGGCCAGTAAAAAATAGGAGAGCAGAATTTATAGTTTTCTCCTGAAAAGGTATTTCTGTCTTTGGCATTATCCTGGGTTTTTTGTTTGTTTGTTTGTTTTTTAACATAACACAATATTTGAGGACTGAAAATTTTACTTATAGAAAATATTGCCAGCTCAAGAAATAGAAATCCCTCAACGATAATATAATTATATATATATATATATATGTATGTATGTATGTATATATATCTGACAATTTATGTGACAAGCAAAATTAATGCAGAAAAATTTCAAAGAACCATTTACCCTTTCAGCAAATAATTAAAACTAATATATAAGCAGAGAAAATAATATATTTGAAAATCTCATTCAATGTATGTAATATGCCATATTTGTTTTAAACAGATTATTTAAGTGTTACAGAAATATTGAAGGATAAGTAACATTTTCTTGGATGGGTATAAATAACGGATAGTCAACGTAATAGAGAAAGCAGTTAATTTATCTTCAATTATTTCATTACTTTTTAGAGAAAGTGAGGATATGTTAAAATCGGGTTACAATAATATTATCTGACAGAAAAGAGCATATAGAAATAAAAATCTTTGCTTTTTAATTTACTGTAGCAAACACTTGCATGCAAGTTACGTGTAAACACACTAACCTGTTTTAGGATCCACAGAGAAGTATGGTTGTCCCTGGAGAATGCTGTAAACCACCCGAGCGCTGTTTCCATAGGTAGGGTCATCTGCATCAGTGGCTGTCACCTGTAGAACAGAGGTACCTGTGCATTCAGGAAAACAAATTTTAGTGTGTGATGGCATTTAGCATATGATTAATTTAAACACAGAAAATGGATATGCTGAAATAGCTATGGAGATCAGTAAAGACTGTGTCTTAGTAAATTTAATTAATGTATAAAACATAGTATTTCTTTCCCTGCCATCAACTGTAATGAAAGAGAGTCTAAAATATAATATTGGTCCCAAATCTTTTAACATGGCTCTTTATGTGCTGGTAACATCCTGAATGTTCTATTTTGATCTTCATTTTAAAAAGCAATAAAACATAACCAAAGTTTGGTTGGCTTGTCACTCATAAATCAAATTTGTACTAACTATACAGTTAAATCACAGGTAACATAAAGCTTTATATTGCATGTTTCATGACTGTTCTTAAAACTGGAGGTGAAGTTATTTGTGATTAAGTTGGGAGGGTGGGTGAGTTGACATTAAATTATCAATGACATCATAACATTCCATTCAAGTCATTTTCTGTCTTATACACTCTTTTTAATTATTAGCTGGATAATTAATGAGTCACATAACCGGTCTCTGTTTTCGTTTGCTTACTTTTTTGTTTGTTTGTTTTTGAGACATGAGACAGAGTCTTGCTCTGTCATTCAGGCTGGAGTGCAGTGGTGCAATCTTGGCTCACTGCAACCTCCACATCCTGGGTTCAACCAATTCTCCTGCCTCAGCTTCCTGAGTAGCTGGGACTCCAAGCACTCTCCACCATGCCCAGATAATTTTTTATTTTTATTTTTAGTATAGACAGGGTCTCATCATGTTGGCCAAGTTGGTCTTTAACTCTTGATCTCTGGTGATCTGACCCCTTGGTGTCCCAAAGTGCTGGAAATACAGGCCTAAGCCACTGTGCCCAGCCAACTGGTCTACTAAGTTCAAATCTCATTCCTTTAGTGTCTTGTACACAGTGCCAACATTGCACTGTATTAAAAAAATGAATAGTAAATTAATTTATAACATTTAAAATATTATATTTTGAGGTAATAAAATTATTGAATCTATTATGCTCGTGTCTTTATGCTTAATTTTTAAAATCCAGTTTGCGTAATTAGAAACACCTATATAACGTTTCAATTATATCTAAATAAAAACTTAATCTAAGTGTAACATGACAACCTTATATTAAGGGATATACAACCTCATTGCAGAATTAGAGGGTAAGAATGCTCATCTAAGAATTCACATCTATTCATAAGATGCACCTGAAGAATCATCTAATGGTGCATACTCAATATTTTATTCCACATCACTAGAAAAATTCTACCTACCAATATGGGTTATCTATCAAGTAAAAATACTTTTACAATCAAATGATCTTGTGTGAAATTTGGTATTCATTTTTGTATTTGAATATGGAAGCACTGGCAATATTCATTTGTTTTTTGTTTTTTTTTTTAGTAACTATGTCAATGATTCAGGATCTAATGTCTGTTCAACTAGAAAATTTGTACTTCTAGGCCAGGCTTAGTGGCTCATGCCTGTAATACTAGCACTTTGGAAGGCCATGGTGGGAGGATAACCTGAGGTCAGGAGTTCAAGACCAACCTGGCAAACATGTGAAACCCCATCTCTACTAAAAAAAACAAAAATTAGCTGGGCATGGTGGCATATACCTGTAATCCCAGCTACTTGGGAGGCTGAGGCAGGAGAATTGCTTGAACCTAGGAGTCAGAGGTTGCAGTGAGCTGAGATCCATGCCATTGCACTCCAGCCTGGGCAACAAGAGTGAAACTCTGTCTCAGAAAAAAAAAAAAAAAAGAGAAAGAAAAAATGTGTACTCCTATGTTGAACTTTAGACACAACTTCAGGGAAAGCTTGTTTTGTGTCTTCGAGGGATCATAGAAAATAGAATTAATATGCCAAGTTTGCTTACCAATCCTTATTAGCAAATCATAAATTTGTATTCTACTTTTAATAACATATTAAGGATCCCGGCCACTAAATAGTATTTTTGCATGGAGACTCTAAGAAGAAATATGACTTGCAATTATCCATCCTCAGAGGATGAGAGCTGTGTTATGTCTAAAAGAGATTTCAAATTATAGACCAATAAAATAGTATAACGACACCAACTGCTGTTTAGAATGCTGAGAAACTGGGTCACTCATATACTGCAATAGAAATGTGATTGTTTGGCAACTTCTTACAAAACTAAACACACATTTATCCAATAAATCGAATAAGACATTTTATTATTTATTTTTTTTTTTATTTTATTATTATTTTTTGAGATGGAGTTTCACTCTTGTTTCCCAGGCTGGAGTGCAATGATGCGATCTTGGCTCACTGCAACATCTGCCTCCTGGGTTCAAGTGATTCTCCTGCCTCAGCCTCCCAAGTAGCTGTGATTATAGGCATACACCCTCATGCCCAGCTAATTTTTTTGCATTTTTAGTTAAGAGGAGGTTTCTCCATGTTGGCCAGGCTGTGAACTCCTGACCTCAGGTGATCTGCCCCCCTTGGCCTCCCGAAGTACTGGGATTACAGGCATGAGCCACCGTGCCCAGCCCTAGCATTTTAACAAATAAATAAAACCTTATGTTCACAGAAAAACCTGCTTACAAATATTCATGGTGGAATTTTTCATGATCGCCCAAAAGTGGAAACCATCCTGATGTCCTTCAATGAGCTAAATGTTAAACAAACCGGTATATTCAAGGTATGCAATATTATTCAACAATAAAAATGAATAGACTATGGATACATGCAACAACTTGTATGAATCTTCAGGGAATCAACTAAATGAAAATTAAGTGAATCCCAAAAGGTTATATACTATGATTCAATTTATATAGCATTTCTGAAATAAAGCTTTTAGAAATAAATAACAAGTTATAATATTCTGGCTATTTGGGGAGAGGGACTAGAGCAAGGAAGTTTGGTGATAGAAGGGAAGCAGAAGGGATCCTTATGCTATTGTAGCTGTTCGATATTTTTATTATGGTAATTGATATATAAATAGATACAGTTGATATAATTCTGTAGAACTGAGCACACACATACACACAGTCACATACACACACACAAATTTATATAAGTAAATCTAGGGAAACCTAATGACAATCAGTAGATTGTGTCATTTCAATAACCTGGTTATGGTACTGTTTTGTAGTTTGCATGATCTTAACTTTGTGGAAAAAATAAAGATTTGCAAAACGTTACCATTGCATGGGAAACTACCATCGGAACAAATGTTGTTTCAGCCAACTAGACTACAGCTTTCTGTTATGTGAGCGCAAATAAACTAAGACAATCACTCAATAAACAAAAAGTAAATAAATAAACTAACCAAGGTATGTGTTAAGGGTTAAATCATATCCCCCAAAATTGATATGTTGAAGTTCTAATCCCCAGTACCTCAGAATGTGACCTTCTTTAGAAATAGCACTGTTTTAAGTAGAATTAGTTAAGAGAAAATCATGCCAGAGTAGTGTGGGCCCCTCATCTAAACTGACTGGGATCCTTATAAACATGAAAAATGAGGAGAAAGGTATACATTCACAGGGATAACGTTATATGAAGATGAATGCAAATATAAGAGCGATGTAGCTACAAGCTAAAGAACACTAAGGACGGTTAGCAAACCACTAGACGCTATGAGAGAGCTGTGTAACAGATCCCTTCTCAGTTTGTTCAGAGGGAACCGACTGTGGCATCTTACTCTCAGACTTCTAGCTTCCAGACTATAAGATAATATATTTCTGTTATGTCAGACATCCAGTCTGGGACACTTTGTGTAGGGCAACTCTAGCAAATGAATATGGTGTGTTAGAGTTTTCGTGGGAAAAACTGACTTTTATTCTCATAATTTATAGTTGCTTTTTAATCTGGGCAAAACTATGAAGTCACAAGGCAAGAAAAAAGTACGTGTAATAGTGTATTATATTTGAAATCAGATACATCATAAGAGAGATAGAATAAAAAGTTATTACAAGGGGATTAGAGTGAATAAAAATGAATATTTGATATTTTTGAACATCAGGCATTTCTAATGATCTGCCTGGTGACATTTTTAAAGTTAGTTAATGCATTATATTGGGCATTTTAATCAAGAATTTAATCACTGGTTAAAAGTTCAAGTGAAACAGATTATCAGTATTTATATCTCTATGCCTGAGAAAAGTCTTCCACTTTGGACAATTCAATTCCTTTATTTACACTGTGTGCCCACATTTTCTGCATAGTAAAAAAGAAAAAACTATTATCCTTTACAGTGCAAGACTTCAAAATGGAAATATACAATGTCCAAAATTCCATCATTCCATCAGAATATTAAAATAGGAATCTAATTTCCTCTGAGAATTGTTATATAGATTTGGTCAATAGATATTAAAGCAACTGTTTCTCTCCCTAGATAATTGGTTTCTAAATTAAAGAAAAATCTTTCAAAAGTGCTTTGGAGGCATTCTCAGATTTTGCAATTGTTTCCCTTCAAAACTATAATCACAAAAAATGTTGAATTTCAAGTTTCATTGGTTATTTGGTACATAATATTTTCTTGTTAAATATTTCCTATGGCACACAGCTGTTCCCATGCTGAGGATTAGTTTCTCTCAGCTGATGTTTTATACAAATCTGAGAAAGATTTAAGTACATGAGAATGTTTTCAAGATGTCTTTTCTACAATAAAACTTAAGTCTTATTTTCTTTAGGGATTGCCCCGTGTCATCCTTACACTTTTCACGTGTTTTTTGTTACTACCGCTTTATAAATATCACACATTTTGCACAGTTGCATATCAATAAGAAGCAGAACGCGTAGACTTCCTGGAAAGTTTCTAAGGACTAATTTGAAATATTTAATTAGGCTTTTTTTTTTTTTTTTTTTTTGAGTGGGAGTTTCGCTCTTGTTACCCAGGCTGGAGTGCAATGGCGCAATCTCGGCTCACCACAACCTCCGCCTCCTAGGTTCAGGCAATTCTCCTGCCTCAGCTTCCTGAGTAGCTGGGATATCAGGCACGCGCCACCATGCCCAGCTA